TGATTTTGACAAGCATACTTGTACGAAGAAAAAAAATGATGAGAAAAATTCGGTGAGCCGAAAAAAAATAAAAAAAATTGTTACACGGGAAAAAAATATCATGTCCGGAGAAAAATTTTCCTAGCCGAATAAAGGGTTTGTCGTCTATAAACTCATGCAGGGCTCCTGACTCATGGCAATCTGACAAAATGTTAATTATCCTTGTACGTGGTCGTTTTTGCGAGAGGTCGGAGAGTAATTTCCCAATATAACGTACAGTTGGCTACATAGTTCTAGTTGCAATCGCCTTATGACACTGTTCTAGTTTACGTATTTTACTCTTACATTGTGCAAAGTCCCATGGTGTAATGGTTAGCACTCTTGACTTTGAATCCAGCGATCCGAGTTCAAATCTCGGTGGGACCTTCAAGGACTCTGTTTTTTTTATCGACGGGAATACATGAAAACCACAACGCATTTTTGATTCAAAGAGTTCGTGCACATTTTGGTATTTTCCATACTCCCGGGGGGAAGGGGAAATTCCGATATGGAAAGGTCGGAGATGCTCGTTGTCTCGCTTAGGGGTATAAATCAAGGATTGTCGTCTCACTAAGGGTGTTTATGACGAGACGCCACTATTTTTTGAACAATACAAAAGCAAAGACCAATACAACGTAGCATGATTTTTTTTTAAAGATATACTATATTTCCGCTGGCCAAACCAGCCTTCTTCAGTTACAATGAGAATTTGACATTGGAAGGGGTGTTTTTGTGGTTTGTTAGCGTAATACCGGAAATAAGTAAAACTAAACTCATTGACAGTTTAAAATAAAGACAAGGTGAAATAAAATAATGAAATGACGTAATAACAGGAAATTACTGAATGTGTTTCTTGGCGGATGTTAAGACCATAGGGATGAATTGCTCTGCCTTTTTGAATTAAAAAAAGCTTTCCTGGCCGTACGGATATAGTCTCGGATACTTAGCTGTTTAAGTATCTTTTAGGCTCTGTTTTTAGGCTCGATTTCTGCCGGTCTCTGGAGTCCGGTCTACTAGCGCGAGCTCCTTTCCTGAACAGCGACTGGTAACCGTGCCCTATTCCGTTATATTACAGGTAGAGGTCAAAAAAAAAAAAAAAAAAAAACAGCTTGAGCCACACCCAGATTGGTCTCCTTTAGGGGTTTAATGTATTCAAATTTTCCGACGTTTATCCTTTTCATATGGGAGTCCACCCCCGGGACTATTATTTTCATTTTCTAGACAGAGGTGTTTTTTTAACTTTTAGTAGTTTTTACTGACTTACGAGTTGTAACCATGATGCACTGCGAGCATTAACATACCATCGTAACTATACGGGGTGGGGTCTCGAGATTTGGTCCAAGACGAAATTTAAGCTGACATGAAATTCAGTTAGCTGAGTGTGTATTTCACATTAGCAATTCAGTACTTTTCGCATATTGCAAATAATTCCACGTCTCCTTTTCAGACATTACCTTCACTGTCCATACTTTTTTCAAGGTTTGGAAAATTGGTTTGCAGATTGCCGTCCGGACCAAAAAATTCAGAACTTAACTGTAAATCCTGAATGAGGCAGACGAACTTCAGTTAGTTTGATAAGCGTCGCAAGCATAACCATAAGAAAAAGCAAGCATAAGGATCAGCGCACTTTTTCCTTGTCGTTTCTCTTTTATTTTTCACCGCATGCCTTTGACTTCAATAAGCGTTTGACAACGGCTTGGGAACTAGACGTGAGATAGCAATTAATAATTTACTTCACCATACAATACTGATTGATCTTTATAAAATATATTAGTACATATTATAAATACTATAATTTCCTGCAAAACCGTAAATTTTCAATAATTTGCAATGTAGCCTCTATATCATTCTACTGCCACAAAAATAGCTGGGTAAAAATTTCATTGACAAAATCATTTTGCTACTATTTCTGCTTAAGTAAGATGTCGTAACAGAAACCCACACCTTCGTCTGTAACAAAAGCTTTTCTTAGGTACTTTTCACTTTCTTTCAAAATCGATCACACAAGCATAACTCCTGGGAGTATTATTTCAACTAAATTCCAAAAAATTCAAAGATAAATATGATACAAAATGATCTGATATTGGCTATTGTGTTGTTCCAGAAAATATCCATACACCTAACTAAGAGTCATAGGAAATTCTGCAGCAGAGGAGGTCTAGCAGGGCTTTTAAAGAAAAGCATGAGATTGAACTGGAATTTCCAGAGGGGTGAGGGGTTCACACCAAAAGTCCCCCCTGTGAGGACCTGTGAGGGAAGTATGGGTATTTTCTGGAGCAATACATGTATTTACATAGCAGGTATCAAGTGTTACCTTTTTCTATGGCAACAGTCCAATTTTATTATCATTATTATTATTATTATTATTATTATTATTATTATTATTATTATTATTATTATTATTATTATTACTAGTGTACCAATACATTTTGTGATAAGTATAAGTGTAAATACAAATCTTTCTGTGATCAATGATAAATTATCTGCCCAATAAATTATAATATAATGTTTGATAAATAAGTAAATCTGCCCCTTATTTATGACAAAAATCCATGAAAAAAAAAGTCTACAATGTACTTTATTGCAAGTTTAGTTTACTATTGTTTCTATTTATTCAAGAATTAGAATTTGTTTCTTTGAAGAGATGTTGTGGTCTGATCTTACACAAAAATCACACTAAACATTTCAAGATTTTCATGCATGCAAAATAAAAGGAATTTGCATTTGTTGTTTTTGGTTCCTGTTACTAGATCGGTCAAATGGACTCATATGATTGCCAAACCAAGGCTGTGAGTCATGGATGACTAGTGCGGTTTTGCTCACCCTAAGACTTACACACATGTTAGACTCCTTAAAGCACTTCACTGAAAACACTTCATATGCTACTTGTAAGAATAAATGTTACATTCAGACAAAGCTAAAGTATCAGTCATGATTAAGAATATTAATCCTTGGAATATGTTAGAATATTAAGCCAAAACTATCATTTGCTTCAAAACAATAATGAAGTGTACATAAAAAAGTGTGATGGCCTAACTTAATCAAAGAGTTGAAAATTTCATTTGAAATAAATCAGTTCCAATCTAGCAAAACATTGTCTCTTTCAACAAGTGCAGATTTCAGTGCATAATGTTCATGTATCACAAAATCTGCAAGATACAGTACTACCATATGTAGAGGTCAATTCATTGAAGATAAAAAGGGCACTTACAATATTCTAATAAACATCGTTCAAGCAGTACAAAAAATTTCTGTAGTCTACATCATCCCAAAATTCTCAACCATTCTCCCAATATGCTGATTTATCTTTATCACAATAAATTATATATTACGTGTATAAGCATCAATTTTGCCAGTGTCCTGAAACAGTGTTTATCAGAGTTGTAGCCCTGGCTAGCTGTAGCTTAAAGTTAGTCTCTTTTAAAACAGCAGGGCTCTGAGGGAATTGATTGAGACTTAGATTTCTGGCAAAGAAAGCTTGGCCATTTAAGAGGCCATTCATATTCATTTGGCACCTTGCCAGAAACCTTTTCTTCAAAAAACCAAAACAATGGAAACCACACACGTGTCCTCTTGCTGTCAATCTGCTTCAGTGCTCGGGTGTTAGCTAGGGTGTGGTAATAAAGGAACAGACGGGAAGAAATGTAGAAAGCAATTACCACATCAATGGAGTAGTGTTCATGCGCAGCCAGAATGAAGAAGATTCCAAAAATGTTCAGGACCCAGCAGCAAGTGTGTAGGTAGTACATATAAGAAGGTGTGTCTGTGAAAAGAGACCATCTGGCTCAAAATGTGTTGGCAATTATCCACATGACTATATCAGTAAAGCCAGAGTGTCTCTGATGTTGTTACATAGGTCACACTACAGAACAATGTGTTCAATACATCACTTTTTCAATCACACACAATCACTTCAGCCAACCCTCCAAAGCAGGTACCTATAGGCAAAAGTAAAGTCTGGATACAAGTCAAGTGGTCCATCAGGCTGGCACTTATCTCTGTTTTTCTGTAGTAGGAAGCCATTAGGAGTATTCCTATCCCCACTTAGATGTGATGCTAGTCCATCACAGGGTTACCCCCAGTATTAAATTCGCTGGTAAGCATTTACACACCTGGGTGGAGAGAGGCACTGTGAGAATAAAGTGTCTCGCCCAAGAACACAACAAAATGTCCCTGGCCAGGGTTTGATCTCAGACTGCTCAATCTGGAGTTGAGTGCACTAAATGTGAGGCCAGCGTACCTCCACAAAAAAAAACAAAAAAAAAAAACATGGTACTGAACAGGTACCTGAAGAAACACTGTTGTAAAAATTTACTTACATTCAGTGACAAAGAAATTTAACAGGGTGATGGAGACTGTATGGCCACTAAACATGTAGTCACCACAGGTTCGCACGCCATTCACAGACAGGCCAAATCCAAAGAAGATCTCAAATGCTCTGCTTATCTTTGTCCAGGTGTCACCATACAACTAGAGAAGAGAAATAACAGCTGACTTATTATTCCATATTTTAGGCACTTATAACACCTGAATAAACACCTGTGAAATGATAACTGACCTTGTTATGTAGCTGGAGATAACTTGAAAATAACACACACTTTTATTTGTTGATTTATGGTCACGTAACTACAGTAAATCTAAATTAAGAGATAACTACCAAAAAAAGAAGATAGAAATGCCCTGCCAGGGACATTTAAGCAATCATTGTTGTCTGCTCTCCCGCTAACTTGCCTTATTACTTTACCCTTAACTCCAGCCATACAGCAAAACACTAAATTACTGGTCCCTAGGGAAACAGTTAGTTTTGCTTTCCCAGGAATATTGAAGTTTCCCATGACAAAGTCAAGGGAAACATTGAGATTCTTGGAGAGAATAAACCAACTATTTCCCTCGGACCAGTAACTAAGTGTATATCTTACTGCATCTGCATATGTTGCCTGAGCCTATGGTCATGCTTGTGCTTTGATGCTCTGATTATTTCTTTCACAAAAATCTTGGTCTATCAATTCACCTCAGAAATTTTTGCAAAATGCACTTTGTGGGAATAAGATGGCAAGATTACAAAACTATTTTAAGTTATCTTCAATTACAAATATTCAAATCCTAACTACATTACTACTATTAATGATTAATGTGTAGCAAAAACACAATACCGCCACAATTTAATTTAAACAATCGACATATAATTATGTAAATAACTTGTCTTCGACATAAAAAAAAGTCCTTCCACCTGGACAACAGCGTTAATTCTATCTAGTACTATCCAGCAAATAAACTTATGCTTCATAAGAAATGTAAGCTTAGCTTTGAAAAACGTTTCATTTTCATAACTCAATAAGTCCTTCAGATGTTGAGCAGAAATCTCTTCCGTCGTCTCACCTTTCCCGAGCATTCCAAATGAATTCCAGGAACACTGAGTGAAGTGACGAACATTGTAACACAGCGAAGTAGAAACACTGTACCACACAAAGCGGCCATTCGCCGTAAAATAATTACTCTGTGCTTGTGTAAGAACACGACCGTGGATAAAACGGCAGCTAAAATAAGCGCCGTAACCTCGCACATTTTAAAGGCCCATGGGATAAGAGGAACATTGTCTAAGACAATATCGGGCAGAGGTGGATACTTCTTCATATCTGGAACACGGTCGTGAACGAACACCATGATGAACGACGTAACAAAAAATACTGAAAACGCGTACACCAAACTAATCAGGGTTCTCCCTGTTTCCGAAATGTTCGAAAGGGGATGAACGTAATCGTTTCTCTCGTCATCAGAATCTTCGAAATCCCGAGGCCGCCGTTCACTTGAACTAGTCCTAAACCTGCCCAAGCTATCAACCTGATCAACCTTGTTTCGTTTAACGTATCCATTGGATCCAGTGGGCAATGCTAAGGAAGTCAGCCGGTTGTTTCTTTGCTGAAGAGTACTTATCGCAAGCCATAGGCGCTTTATATCGCCAAGAATGTTCAACTCTAGCGGAGGATTTCTCAAGTCATCTTCGTTGAGGACAAGAAGCGCTTTTCCGTCGACCTTATGATCACTACTGAACAGATCCACATAGTCATCAAAACCGTTTCCTTTAAGCCACAAGCCCACATCCTTACAAGTCCACTGATACACGTCTTTTCCCTGCCCCATATTTTTCTCAGCTGTTCTCATTGCGCGATCATGTGTTCTATCTGGCTTAGCTGCCACGCACTCTCCACGTCAAAGAAAATAAAAATTGGGTACCAGCCTCTTTCGGTTATAGCAATCAAAAATACGGTGGGAGTTCAGTAAACAGTAAATGGGACCATATTGAAGCAGGTATTTGAGTTATCAATGTTTTAGGTAGACACGTCTACTTTCCGTGTACCTGCTTTTATTGTTGTGACCCAGGACAACTTTAACGATTACATTTCACTCCATACAACAAGTGGTATCCTCAAGTAAAAGTTGCATTGATTGAGCTTTTCTCACTGACCGCTCAAAATAGTTAATTTAGGTTATTGATTTTATTAGTAAACTAGAGCTGGAGGGAGAGACCCTGGAACTACACTTCCCTAACATGTATCCGAGCGCATTGGAAGAAATAAAAGCTGGGAACAAAGTGGATTCTTCTCTGTCAGTTCTGTGTGAGTTTGTGGCTCACGGATCAGGTTCGCACACCACTACGCCATTACTATCCATTGCGGGATGAGCTAACGGTATACCTTGATGTACTGTCCAACTCACATAAAGTCACCGTTCCCCCGCGCAGCTTCAGTCTTCTAAGCTGAAAAACTCTAACCTGGCCACACAGGCAGTAAAAGTATGATTCTTAGTGCTCAAAAGATAATATATTGGCCTAAAATGCAAGCTGCAATTCCACAAGAGAGTGTCAAATGTTCATTGTGTGCGAGTGTGATTGTTCGTCGCTCGCGAGAGAACCGATGTTGTCTCTTGAATTCATTTGGCAGGACTTATTCAACCAAGGAGGGCTCAATGATATGCTGTTGTGGTAGATTACTCCACTACAGTGACTGGTTTGAGGTGAATCTGTTGAACGAAGACATGACTGCTACAAGTCTCAGTAAAAAAAAGCACACTTTGCCCGCTATGGTGTGCCGGATAAACTTTATGTCAGACAATGGGCCCCAGTATACCTCTCAAGAGTTCTGAACTTTGCCAAGGCCTATGACTTCAAGTTGATCATGCGGTCGACGTACTGTATCACGTTAGAGCCACTGGTAAAGCCGAATCTGCCGTCCTAAGGGAGGCCAAACAGATGTTGAANATTATTATTATTATTATTATTATTATTATTATTATTATTATTATTATTATTATTATTATTATTACTAGTGTACCAATACATTTTGTGATAAGTATAAGTGTAAATACAAATCTTTCTGTGATCAATGATAAATTATCTGCCCAATAAATTATAATATAATGTTTGATAAATAAGTAAATCTGCCCCTTATTTATGACAAAAATCCATGAAAAAAAAAGTCTACAATGTACTTTATTGCAAGTTTAGTTTACTATTGTTTCTATTTATTCAAGAATTAGAATTTGTTTCTTTGAAGAGATGTTGTGGTCTGATCTTACACAAAAATCACACTAAACATTTCAAGATTTTCATGCATGCAAAATAAAAGGAATTTGCATTTGTTGTTTTTGGTTCCTGTTACTAGATCGGTCAAATGGACTCATATGATTGCCAAACCAAGGCTGTGAGTCATGGATGACTAGTGCGGTTTTGCTCACCCTAAGACTTACACACATGTTAGACTCCTTAAAGCACTTCACTGAAAACACTTCATATGCTACTTGTAAGAATAAATGTTACATTCAGACAAAGCTAAAGTATCAGTCATGATTAAGAATATTAATCCTTGGAATATGTTAGAATATTAAGCCAAAACTATCATTTGCTTCAAAACAATAATGAAGTGTACATAAAAAAGTGTGATGGCCTAACTTAATCAAAGAGTTGAAAATTTCATTTGAAATAAATCAGTTCCAATCTAGCAAAACATTGTCTCTTTCAACAAGTGCAGATTTCAGTGCATAATGTTCATGTATCACAAAATCTGCAAGATACAGTACTACCATATGTAGAGGTCAATTCATTGAAGATAAAAAGGGCACTTACAATATTCTAATAAACATCGTTCAAGCAGTACAAAAAATTTCTGTAGTCTACATCATCCCAAAATTCTCAACCATTCTCCCAATATGCTGATTTATCTTTATCACAATAAATTATATATTACGTGTATAAGCATCAATTTTGCCAGTGTCCTGAAACAGTGTTTATCAGAGTTGTAGCCCTGGCTAGCTGTAGCTTAAAGTTAGTCTCTTTTAAAACAGCAGGGCTCTGAGGGAATTGATTGAGACTTAGATTTCTGGCAAAGAAAGCTTGGCCATTTAAGAGGCCATTCATATTCATTTGGCACCTTGCCAGAAACCTTTTCTTCAAAAAACCAAAACAATGGAAACCACACACGTGTCCTCTTGCTGTCAATCTGCTTCAGTGCTCGGGTGTTAGCTAGGGTGTGGTAATAAAGGAACAGACGGGAAGAAATGTAGAAAGCAATTACCACATCAATGGAGTAGTGTTCATGCGCAGCCAGAATGAAGAAGATTCCAAAAATGTTCAGGACCCAGCAGCAAGTGTGTAGGTAGTACATATAAGAAGGTGTGTCTGTGAAAAGAGACCATCTGGCTCAAAATGTGTTGGCAATTATCCACATGACTATATCAGTAAAGCCAGAGTGTCTCTGATGTTGTTACATAGGTCACACTACAGAACAATGTGTTCAATACATCACTTTTTCAATCACACACAATCACTTCAGCCAACCCTCCAAAGCAGGTACCTATAGGCAAAAGTAAAGTCTGGATACAAGTCAAGTGGTCCATCAGGCTGGCACTTATCTCTGTTTTTCTGTAGTAGGAAGCCATTAGGAGTATTCCTATCCCCACTTAGATGTGATGCTAGTCCATCACAGGGTTACCCCCAGTATTAAATTCGCTGGTAAGCATTTACACACCTGGGTGGAGAGAGGCACTGTGAGAATAAAGTGTCTCGCCCAAGAACACAACAAAATGTCCCTGGCCAGGGTTTGATCTCAGACTGCTCAATCTGGAGTTGAGTGCACTAAATGTGAGGCCAGCGTACCTCCACAAAAAAAAACAAAAAAAAAAAACATGGTACTGAACAGGTACCTGAAGAAACACTGTTGTAAAAATTTACTTACATTCAGTGACAAAGAAATTTAACAGGGTGATGGAGACTGTATGGCCACTAAACATGTAGTCACCACAGGTTCGCACGCCATTCACAGACAGGCCAAATCCAAAGAAGATCTCAAATGCTCTGCTTATCTTTGTCCAGGTGTCACCATACAACTAGAGAAGAGAAATAACAGCTGACTTATTATTCCATATTTTAGGCACTTATAACACCTGAATAAACACCTGTGAAATGATAACTGACCTTGTTATGTAGCTGGAGATAACTTGAAAATAACACACACTTTTATTTGTTGATTTATGGTCACGTAACTACAGTAAATCTAAATTAAGAGATAACTACCAAAAAAAGAAGATAGAAATGCCCTGCCAGGGACATTTAAGCAATCATTGTTGTCTGCTCTCCCGCTAACTTGCCTTATTACTTTACCCTTAACTCCAGCCATACAGCAAAACACTAAATTACTGGTCCCTAGGGAAACAGTTAGTTTTGCTTTCCCAGGAATATTGAAGTTTCCCATGACAAAGTCAAGGGAAACATTGAGATTCTTGGAGAGAATAAACCAACTATTTCCCTCGGACCAGTAACTAAGTGTATATCTTACTGCATCTGCATATGTTGCCTGAGCCTATGGTCATGCTTGTGCTTTGATGCTCTGATTATTTCTTTCACAAAAATCTTGGTCTATCAATTCACCTCAGAAATTTTTGCAAAATGCACTTTGTGGGAATAAGATGGCAAGATTACAAAACTATTTTAAGTTATCTTCAATTACAAATATTCAAATCCTAACTACATTACTACTATTAATGATTAATGTGTAGCAAAAACACAATACCGCCACAATTTAATTTAAACAATCGACATATAATTATGTAAATAACTTGTCTTCGACATAAAAAAAAGTCCTTCCACCTGGACAACAGCGTTAATTCTATCTAGTACTATCCAGCAAATAAACTTATGCTTCATAAGAAATGTAAGCTTAGCTTTGAAAAACGTTTCATTTTCATAACTGAATAAGTCCTTCAGATGTTGAGCAGAAATCTCTTCCGTCGTCTCACCTTTCCCGAGCATTCCAAATGAATTCCAGGAACACTGAGTGAAGTGACGAACATTGTAACACAGCGAAGTAGAAACACTGTACCACACAAAGCGGCCATTCGCCGTAAAATAATTACTCTGTGCTTGTGTAAGAACACGACCGTGGATAAAACGGCAGCTAAAATAAGCGCCGTAACCTCGCACATTTTAAAGGCCCATGGGATAAGAGGAACATTGTCTAAGACAATATCGGGCAGAGGTGGATACTTCTTCATATCTGGAACACGGTCGTGAACGAACACCATGATGAACGACGTAACAAAAAATACTGAAAACGCGTACACCAAACTAATCAGGGTTCTCCCTGTTTCCGAAATGTTCGAAAGGGGATGAACGTAATCGTTTCTCTCGTCATCAGAATCTTCGAAATCCCGAGGCCGCCGTTCACTTGAACTAGTCCTAAACCTGCCCAAGCTATCAACCTGATCAACCTTGTTTCGTTTAACGTATCCATTGGATCCAGTGGGCAATGCTAAGGAAGTCAGCCGGTTGTTTCTTTGCTGAAGAGTACTTATCGCAAGCCATAGGCGCTTTATATCGCCAAGAATGTTCAACTCTAGCGGAGGATTTCTCAAGTCATCTTCGTTGAGGACAAGAAGCGCTTTTCCGTCGACCTTATGATCACTACTGAACAGATCCACATAGTCATCAAAACCGTTTCCTTTAAGCCACAAGCCCACATCCTTACAAGTCCACTGATACACGTCTTTTCCCTGCCCCATATTTTTCTCAGCTGTTCTCATTGCGCGATCATGTGTTCTATCTGGCTTAGCTGCCACGCACTCTCCACGTCAAAGAAAATAAAAATTGGGTACCAGCCTCTTTCGGTTATAGCAATCAAAAATACGGTGGGAGTTCAGTAAACAGTAAATGGGACCATATTGAAGCAGGTATTTGAGTTATCAATGTTTTAGGTAGACACGTCTACTTTCCGTGTACCTGCTTTTATTGTTGTGACCCAGGACAACTTTAACGATTACATTTCACTCCATACAACAAGTGGTATCCTCAAGTAAAAGTTGCATTGATTGAGCTTTTCTCACTGACCGCTCAAAATAGTTAATTTAGGTTATTGATTTTATTAGTAAACTAGAGCTGGAGGGAGAGACCCTGGAACTACACTTCCCTAACATGTATCCGAGCGCATTGGAAGAAATAAAAGCTGGGAACAAAGTGGATTCTTCTCTGTCAGTTCTGTGTGAGTTTGTGGCTCACGGATCAGGTTCGCACACCACTACGCCATTACTATCCATTGCGGGATGAGCTAACGGTATACCTTGATGTACTGTCCAACTCACATAAAGTCACCGTTCCCCCGCGCAGCTTCAGTCTTCTAAGCTGAAAAACTCTAACCTGGCCACACAGGCAGTAAAAGTATGATTCTTAGTGCTCAAAAGATAATATATTGGCCTAAAATGCAAGCTGCAATTCCACAAGAGAGTGTCAAATGTTCATTGTGTGCGAGTGTGATTGTTCGTCGCTCGCGAGAGAACCGATGTTGTCTCTTGAATTCATTTGGCAGGACTTATTCAACCAAGGAGGGCTCAATGATATGCTGTTGTGGTAGATTACTCCACTACAGTGACTGGTTTGAGGTGAATCTGTTGAACGAAGACATGACTGCTACAAGTCTCAGTAAAAAAAAGCACACTTTGCCCGCTATGGTGTGCCGGATAAACTTTATGTCAGACAATGGGCCCCAGTATACCTCTCAAGAGTTCTGAACTTTGCCAAGGCCTATGACTTCAAGTTGATCATGCGGTCGACGTACTGTATCACGTTAGAGCCACTGGTAAAGCCGAATCTGCCGTCCTAAGGGAGGCCAAACAGATGTTGAAAAGTCGGATCTCCTCATCGGTCTATTGGACCTGCCGAACACTCCGCCTCCGCCTCTCCCCAACATAAAGGCTTCCCTGCCATCGAAGTCCACGCTACTTGAATATCTGAAACTTTCCTGAGCCGATCAGTGCCACAAGTAGCCGTAGTGCGTGACGTTTTCCCCTTTTTTTCCCAGGAAATTTGTTTCCCTTCTGATGAGCAGAATTTACTTTTTTTTTAGTAACGTGGACTAATCCTCTCCGCGTGCGCTAGGAACAAATTGCTTTGTTTTAGAAAGAACAGTACTACAAGGAAAGCAAGGAGTTTTCTGAAGCAAATATATATACCTTTGTAATGTGAAGAAGCAACGTAGGCACGACAAGTGCGCACAAGTACTTATATCACTCACCCCTATCTCCTTTCTCGCCGCACGATTAATTAATCAATTTGTTTTATTTTTATTTATTTATTTATTTATTTGTTAATTACTTGTTTAATACCTAATTTACATGTTAGTACTTAGAGCTTAGTGCATCCGCCTCGAACATTTTGCTGGAGAACTCGTTACTAAACACGTATCTGGTGCTATCTGAAATAAATAAGATTAAGGTTTGCTTAGATGTAACCTTAGATTTAAAAAAAAAGTTTCATTTTCATAACTGAATGGGTTTTTAAGATGCTAAACATAAATCTATTTCCTCTTCTTACCTTTCCGGCTGAGCATTCCAATTGCAAATGAATTCCAGGAACACTAAGTGATGTGACGAACATTGTAAAACAGCGAAGAAGAAAAAGTGTCCCATACATAGCAGCCACTCGCCGTGCAATAATAACTCTGTGTTTGTGGAAGAACAAGACGACCGATAAAAAGGCAGTCAAAATAAGCACCGTGCCTTCGCACAGTTTAAAGGCCCATGGGATAACAGGTAAGTTGTCTAAGACAATGTCAGGCAGAGGGGGATATTTCTTCATATCTGGAACACGATCGTGAACTACGAAAACCGCGACAAACGAAGAAACAAAAAACGCTGAAGACACGTACAACAAACTAATGAACATTTTCCCTGTTTCCGAAATGTTCGAAAAGGGATGAATGCAGTCCGTTCCTTCGTTATCAGGATCTTCGAAATCCCGAGGCCACCGTTCACCTGAACTAACCATAAACCTGCCCAGGCTATCAACCTGATCAATCTTGTTTCGCTTAACGTATCCATTGGATCCAGTGGGCAGTACTAAGGAAGTCAGCCGGTTGTTTCTTTGCTGAAGAGAACTTATCGCAAGCCATAATCGCTTTATATCGCCAAGGATCTTTAACTTAAGCGGAGGATTTCTCAAGTCATCTTCGTTGAGGACAAGAAGCGCTTTTCCGTCGATCCTATGTTCATTACTGAACAGATTCACATAGTCATCGAAACAGTTTCCTTCAAGCCACAAGCCCACATCTTCACAAGTCCACTGATGTACGTTTTTTCCCTGCCCCATGTCTTCAGAAAGACCAGAGAAGAAACGGTATTGTTTTGGCTTTAGGGTGAACTATGTACATAGAGGTCGGATGCAATCAGAGTAAAAGTTTATAATTTGCAATGTAAACATGTTTTAGCTGGACAAACAAAACTAGTGAACACATGCTCAGATTTCGCTAAAATGGTCGCGACGAACAGTATTAAAAAGGAAATTAAAATGTACCACAAATTGAAAATGATGACTGAAATGATTTTAAACCGCATTGAAACAACCGTGAAGTGTGGAAAAAAGCAAAGGTTTTCCTTCCGTGATAAGTTGTAATGTAAACTGGGCTAAATAAAGAGAATATATCGTGGAGTATTCTAGCCTCGAATCCCCTAAAGTGACACCTTAGAATCCTCAGGTATTCAAGGCGCACGTCATATGTGACGTACACCTGGAGTATTCGAGAGTGTTTAATCATGTGTGCACGCAACAAGTGACGAACACCTGGCGTGTTCAATAATGTTCAAGAATGCTGACTTGTCATATTCAAGTTGAATTCGGGAAAGTAAGCCAGATTCAATTAGGATATTGCAGGTGTTTTTCGAGTCAGGCGTCCTCGAGTACTTCAGAATATTGCGGTGCACGTGTTATGCACCGGTCCCTATTCCGGTGAATATGGACCCGAATGGGCTACCCAGTGATTTCTGCCAAAATATTAGAGCCTCCCAACAAAATATGGTCTAGCGCACCATTTCAGCTGTTACCTCGCACAAAAATAGTGTATAAGGTTTGAAATGGTCGTTTGAAGTAATAATATTGCCTAAAAACAAAAACCGCAAAAAAAAGTTCTATTTAACAAATTGACGTCAGTTTTTTTTATGCGCCTGTCCTCTTATTGATGATAAATTGGGTCATAACATTGTCAAAGTGGCTGTGGAACCACGAGCCGCAAGATTGACTACTTTAAAAAGTCCATAAAATCTTATTGGTTGAAAAGTTGACAGTTTGACAGCTGAAACTTGAACTTGAAAGCTTGCATAAAATAAAGTTTTATCCGTCCGTCAGGCTCTTATTGATGATAAAAATGAGCCAATCAGCGCGCGAGAAATTAGACAGTTATTGTGAAAATAGTAATTGAATTATTTATATTCGCCCGGTCTTCTCGTGCAGCATACTAAAACCCAGGTCTTCCCTCTTCTCCCCACACCTTATGGGGGTATGATACCCTAAAATATGGCGATGTTCATGAAAAATTCAATTTCTTGGAAATACAAGACTTAAGACCCTTGAGGACTTGTCAAAAACATTTTG